TCTGCCAGCTGTTTATCTTTGTAAAGGTTGGGGAAACAAGGAATATCTATCGCGCCCGTTCACTCGAAGCCGAGGCGCGTTTCTCTCGTCCAGCCGACGTTGCCGGCGGGCCAGTGCCTATCATATCTGAGTGACGCGCACTGTTACGAAATATTTTGCCACTTGTGCAGCGGCAAAGATGGCAAAGAGGATGAGGCTGAAGGCATCAATGGACGAATTATTTGCTATGAGTCCCGTAACAAATCATTCCACTGGTAAAACAAGTGCGCACAATTTGCACACCAACGTGAGCAAGTTACGATGTTGCACAGCACATCCCGACGCAAAAAGATTTGTTTGCTTTTGGTGTGCTTTTGGTATGCTTTCTGTATGCTATCGGTTCGCGGAGGGTCGCGGTCGGTGCGCCGATTGGTCGCCGAGGTTCGCCGGGCTCCTGAGCGACGTATCGCCAAGGATCACCGGAGGTTCGCGCCGGAGCGACCTATGCCCACCATCGGGTAGCTCTATGCGCTGACAGAGCGTACTGAGTATGCATTCAGGTCGCTCCGAGACGAACATGAGCGAATGTAATATTACATGGTGGTTTACTCAAGTTGCACACTGCGTATGGTGTAAAAGTTTTTGACATTTTGTAAACATTTAAATTCTACACAATCGGGCACACACATTTCTGTGCTATTAAAAGGAACCATATGGTGTGCAGTTGCTATACAGGCAATTCCAAAAAAAAAAAATGTAAAAAATGTCCGTCAGTGACGTCAGCGACTGAGAGGTGCTAAGGGCTGTTGAAGCACATGACTAGACGCGTCTTTGCAAGACGCTTCTAGGGACGTATTGCAACAATACGTAGCACCTCTCAGTCGCTCACAAATGCCGTCACTGTCGGACACCCCTGTCTGGAATTGCCCATACTTTTCGAAAGAGTCGAAAGTTTAAACACTAATTAATTGACTGTTCACGACCTAGTTAGACACCACAATGTGTCGAGAAAATGCACACTTCAACACACTATCAATTGACGGGCAAAATTATGAAAACTATTAATCTTACCAGTGTCGTCACCATGACAAGATCAAATTTAAATAAATGAAAATCGCAACTGTTTCAATAACGCATTCAGAAATTTAAATTCTCGCGGAGAAAAGGATGCGTGGTAGACGAAGTCATTTGTAACAAATTTAGTAATACAAACGATAAGAAATTGATCACTCGCAAAATGTGAATCAGAGTATCCAGAAAATTTTATCGGCGCGCGTAGCCAGAGTCGAGCAGGGAAACTCTTGCAGTATTGTCCTCGAAGACAAAGTTAAGAACACACCATTTATCCGTTCTTGCCGGCAGAACATGCACGATGACGCCCTGCCGACTGTAAATATAAACTTCTTCGACTTTCCCCCACGGACCCCTCCGTATTTCCAAGCTATTCCGCAATGACGCAAACGGCGTACACTGCGGGGGAACCTAGACAGCGTAACTTCGATCACGTCACAGTCGTAAACGATTTGTGAAAGATTTACGCCATGCACAAAGCTCACAACATATACAGAGGCACCCTCCGCTCTTTTGTCGCAGTGGCGTGCGTATCGCAGTTTTTAGGCCGTAAATCAGCCCCTTTCGGACGGCGAGAATCGGTTTCCCTAACAACAGATGGACGTGTGCGTCACCCACGCGCCCCACAGAAAGAAGGCATTCGCAGCCGACCGAGTAGCACCGCTGAAAAACAAAGACAAAATGAGGCAGTATCCCCTACAATTATCAGTGGCCTGCTCGTAAAAAAGCAAGCGCAGAAAGAAAATTACGAGAAGACAACAAACGTCACGGCGAACGCTCGGCTGAATTCTCTGACGTCGTCGGAGTCGCGGCGTCAGTGGCCGCGGTACGCTTCGATACCTGAGCTAATCATAACAAAGAAGTTTGTGGCAAACAAAAACAAAAGGCCGGCGTACAAGCGCGGCGGGGCCAGCGGGTACACTTTTAAACTTTGGCGCCGAAAAACGATGAAATATTCAGAGAGTATCGACGCGCGCGGAGTCGAAGGAGCAGTCACGGTACGGTGCCGCGGTGCGGCAGCCAGCACCGCCGGCCGTAGGGGGGAGCAGGGTGAGAGTCATGGAGGCGA